CGATTGGTTGCCGCCGAACCGCGTCATAGCTCATTAGCATAATTTAAAGTTGACCTGACTTCAACTCTCCTCGCTGCTCTCGCCGTTCCAAGACATTGAAAATGAATGACTTCCGGCCACTTTGACGCTCTCACCGGCGGCGGTGTGAACGCACAGTTACACTTTAATTATAGCTAAAAGTATAATAAAATTTGTCAAAATTTAATTTAACAAACGAACATCACAGCCATGTGAAGTCATTGGAAATCTGTGGATCTTATCCCCAATCAATCTCATGGGATTGATTCCCAGGGTGCATATATTAAATGAATATATGTAAATGTTTGATCTGTACTTACATGCTGCTTCTCTCTTAGGTCCAGTGGATCACAACTCTCCGCCTCAGAACAGTTTGCATTTGAATGGTCATAGTCAAGTGACTGTGGGAGTGGTACGAAGAGGCCGGGGCAGACCCAGATCAGACGCACAAATACAGACGCCAGTAGTGGTACCGCCACCCCCATTGCCCCAGGCCTCTGGGAAAAAGAGAGGGAGGAAAAGCAAGAAAGACCTGGAGTCCCTAAGAAGAGACTCCGACCAAGAGGAGGAGCTTCTTCTGTCTACTGGTGATGAGGGCGGGGCTTCTTCTACGGCCCAGGACAGTAGTCTTTCAGATTCAGGGGTAGTGACTCCAGAGAGTCCGAAACGACGAGGCAGACCACGAATCACCAGATCGACAGATACTCCACCTCCTTCAAGCCCCAAAACCCTCAGAAGGAGCAGTCGGCGTGGCACCGAAGAGACCACACCCCCTACGCCAGGCCCCGCCCTAAGGGAGGAGCCTGACATTTATATGGGAGAGGATGGGGGCTCGAAAGGGCAGATGAGAACGCGTAACCAGGGCCGAAGGACAGCTTTCTATAACGAAGAAGACTCTGAGGAAGAGCAAAGACAGCTTTTGTTTGAGGATGCCTCCATTACTTTCGGCACGTCAAGCAAGGGGAGAGTCCGCAAGCTCACCGAGAAGGCCAAAGCCAACCTTATTGGCTGGTAACAATGCCAACTTTGCATGTCCTATGCGACACAACCCCTTATCCTCACCCTGCTGGGGAGGGGGGAACCATTCCTGCTGCTATCAGACTGTCATGATTATCTGAATCTTTCATTCTCTAAATTGATTATAACGTTTTGAATCTTTGACTCTTTTGGTGACTTAAAGAGTCACAGCCCCTTGACATCCCCCAACTTCAACATTTTCTTCCACAGAAAAATCACAAATGCAGTTAAATACTGATTTTCATATGCACTATATTTGAATGCCAGTGAAGAAAGGTACTTACACAGTCTTATGAATCCAAATACCTGATTTCATCTCTCAAGAAAGCACTTATGAGGATTGTTGAGTGTGTGTGTGTGTGTGTGTGTGTGTGTGTGTGAGAGAGAGTGTGAAATAACTTGAGCTTTTACTCTGTCTTGTTTCTTTAAACTGTTAATTTTATGCATTGTTTTTACACAGTTGTTGCTAAAGGCAACAAATCAAACACTTGTTCAAAAAAAAATCTATTTTTAACAGATCATTGTGTAAGTGGCTGTAAAGCTGTAGTAGAGTGCAGAGAAGGACCTCATAAATTTCCCGTGTTGTCTTTTTAACGTCTTTCTCTGCAAGTCGAGATCAGTGGCAGTGGTAATTCACGCATGTTTTTATATAATTAGCAATACCTTGTGCCTTTTCATATTTTCAATACATTATGGCTCCTTTGTACTCCCCAATTTGTGTGTGTGTGTGTGATAGAGAGAGAGTGTGTGATGCTTTGGCGTATTGATTTATTCAGTACAAACGTGTGTTATTGATCTGTTGTTGGGTCCACACATGATCTGTGTGTGTGTGTGTGTGTGTGTGTGTGTGTGTGTGTGTGTGTGTGTGTGTGTGTGTGTGTGTGTGAGACATAGATAGTGACATCACTCCTTGCCTGTTTTATCGGGCTCCCAGAATGCACTGTGATTCCTAACTAGAACCAAGACTTATAAATACAGTGACCACAAAAAGTGTTTTAGCACTAAAGCCACAGTTTTAAAATCTCTGAATGTCATTGCATTAGAGAATGAAATATCAAATCAGGGGGCATCTGCAAACAAATGATGGTAGAGCTTTTCAGAACTAACTCAAGTTTTTTTTTTTTGCATTCTTTGAAACTATGGCTAACAATGTAATATGTAAATTTGGAATGATTAATCGTATGATTAATTCTATTAATGATGAATAATTATGAATTCATTATGAATTTTAAAAATGAATGCAAACATTTTCAGTTTAACTAATTTTAATATGATAGTGTCTTAAACAAGCAACACCTTCATTTGGAGGCTTTTCTGAACAAATAATATACAATACTGTTCTAAAGTTTGGAGTCTGTAAGATTTTTTTCATGTGTTTGAAAGAAGTCTTTTATGCTCACCAAGGCTGCATTTACTTGACCAAGAATACAGTAAAAACAGTAGTGTTGTGAAATATTATAAAGTGAAGCTGAACTTTCAGCATCATTACTTCAGTCTTCAGTGTCACATGATCCTTCAGAAATTATTCTAATTTGCTGATTTGCTATTTAAGTAAAATTCTTGTCATTGTCCCAAAATAACAAAAAACTTACTGACCCCAAACTTTTAACAGAAGTGCACAGTTATTTGTGACTACTTTGATTAATTCGTTAGAAAATCATGTGATTAAATCAATTTGAATAAAATTACACTTCTTCTTTAATCCAAACGACAGCCCTACTTTGAGGAGATTTTTTAGTGGATATTCCCCTCAAGGTCACTCAGGTGTTTTCGCAGATTATTTACCAATAATTTTAGCACAGTCATTATTTACCAACATGTTAAACAACCAGAAAGTGTCCAAATGTTTTGCTTAAACATTTTCTTTCTTTAAAATAGATGCCACTTAGTTTGACAATGTGATATTTAATGCAATGTCATTAATACATTTTTAGATGTTTCTCAAGTGTCCAAATACTTTTGTCAGCACTGTATACTCTTACAAACCACTATTGGCAGAGTTATTAGTATGTGTGTAGCGACGTTCGTTGCCTCACCTTTTCAACACTCTACCTGTAGTTTCATCTATCCCGGAGAGCAGGCCTCTGTTTCTGTATTAGGTAAACTCATTGAATTACTGGGGAACTGCTCATTTCATTAGCATTTGTTTTTGCCTGATCACATTGAAACACTGTGTTTGATATTTCCCATTCTGATGCATCGACTCAGTAGATACCACAGGGCAGCGAATCACACAAGAGGCAGTGTGCATGTCGTATTCTGTGTTTTTGAATGTGCCTTGACTTTTTGTGTGTATGTACGTACATGTCTGTGTGATGTACAACTGAAGAATTAAGGTAGTATATCCCACCTTAATGTCCGGACTCACTTATGCAGCGTGGTCTCCTTTATAAGGGAGGCATTCAGTCTGGTTTGTTGCCATGTGATTTTGTAGGTTCTTGCGTACTCTCAGCAGTTGTGGTCTGGGTCATCCATTACGACAGAGCTAATCCAGCCCATAGCTTTAAAACTGGTTTGATGAACCAAAGCCTTTGAATGTGTTTAGTTGTGGAAGTTTATGTACGAGACTGTTTGGTAAAGTGGCTGTTTTATATGCAGTTGACGCATGTCTGAGTCCATTTCTGTACTTGTGTTAATGTACAAGCCCCATGTTTTATTGAGCTGGTGTTTATAATCTGTTGCTACATGAAAACTGTATTATATCTGATTCACGACCCCTCTATTACTACCACCATACTGCACAGGAAGTGACATCGGTGACAGGTTTTAGAGGGGAGATCAAAGATGGATGCATGTTAGTATATTCTCCGTCTTTTAAATCTGAAGGTACAGTCATGTTTGTGGGGTCAGGGTCTTTTTTCCCCTCTCCGGTCTTATATCCTCAGACTGAGAGGTCTTTCTATGTTAGTTTGTATACTTTTATATAAAGGAAAAAGTGTAAATAAAGACGTTAAATAGAATGTATGTGTAGGGTGTACTGCTGTCACATTAGTTCATACTGATATTTTAAGGAAATAAACATTTGTGTTTCCACAAACTCTCTTGTTCTTTCATTCTTTCACATGTTGTTTTGCTTTAATATGGTCATGGGGAAACTTGGAAGTATCAGGCAAAATTTGCAATTGTGATTTCCAGGCCTGAAAAGGCCATAGATATTAATAAAATCTTTTTTTTTTAAACCCAGAAAAACATGGTAATTTCTTTTGTGAATTTAGTACTTGGCCCTACAATGTTTTTTTCAGCAATATAGGCTGTATTGTGTGAAGTGAAATATAATATATGAATATATTAATAGAATTGCTGCCTTACATGCATCTGATTGATATTATATAACAATTGCTAAATTATGAGAACTAAAAATAAACACAATTTTAATTTTATGAAGGTTAAGATACAATTTAAAACCATTGAATGGTTGATGATAAACCATTTCGTGGAGGTCAGCGACCTCTATCGTGCATTATTTGGAACTGCGCGTGAAATAAAACAATAATTTGTCATTGCTAGGAAAATGTACAAGGCCAATGATATAAATGTATATTTAAAGTATATATTAAGATAAAAATGGAAATAAAACTGGTATAAATATGAGTTATCATTTAAATTTTTTTTATTTTAAAACAGACTCACCTAATGAAATGCCGTCTTCATTTAAAACATTTTTTTTAGAAGGCACTGGTATATGAATATTCCTGGTGTTTTTTATATTAAATATATGAATATTAAATACATTTATATCAAATCTTAAGAAAAACTTAACTGCTAAATACACTTTAAAAAAAAAACATTTCTCAGAACTATGACCACAAAATAAAAATTTTGCAGTTTGCAGTTTTGAAAAATTATTCAGGATATTTGGCTTACAAAACCAAACATCCTTTCCTGACGTGGCGGCGCGAGACTTGTACACACACCTCCTCTCGTGGGGAGCCGCTATTGGACGCGCACTGTCTAATAGTAGCCTAGGCTACTAATGTTCAACTTGGAGGCGCAGGTGTCAAACCGAAACTGCCCGCATGTAAATTTCATAATTCAGTTTTCAAGACAGTGCTTACACTACGCATAACAAGCCAAGAGTTTCGGCGAGCTCTTCCTGTTATCAAGTTAAAAATAGTAGCCTATCTCTGACAATAGTGAATTGAATTCAGTGCTTATTCACTGAAGTTCTTGCATAAGGTAAGGTAGGCCTACTTTTAACTGTGCAATGTTTTGAATAAATATTGTGAATGCCTAGACATACAGGCCTATTCTATAGCCTACTTTTAAAACTACAACAGTGACATAGGCTACTGTGCTCATGTAGTGATGTGAAATCTCTGTCATATTAAATGTACAGTGATGCCTCAAATCACGTCAGGTGTGATCTTGCAGCTGACGCTGCTGCTGTCAGCTTTACCTGCGCAGTATCTCATCTCCATGTGGACGAGCGGCACCGAGGCACAACGACACATCGCCACGCGGAGGTAAACACGCATCACGCAAACACTAAACAAGAGATAGGAGTCAGGACAAATATTGTTTGACGTATGTATATATATATATATATATATATATATATATATATATATATATATATATAATGTGTGTGTGTGTGTGTGTGTGTGTGTAAATTAATAGTCTACTTTTATGATTTCAACGATGCAACAAATTGACCAAAAGTACAGTAAAGACTTTTACAAAAAACGTTCTATTCTATAAGAACTAATAATAAGAAATGTTTATTGAGAACCAAATCAGCATATTGATTTCTCAAGGATCATGTGACACTGAATAGTAACTGAGTGCTGATGCTGAAAATTCAGCTTTACCATCACAGGAATAAATTACATTTTAAAATATACTAAAATAGAAAACTGTTATTTTAAATTGTAATAATATTTCAAATGTTTACTGTTTTTAATATTTTTGATCAAATAAATAAGATCTTATGTCGAAAACATTTAAAAAATCTTACCAACCCCAACCTTTTAATCGTTAGAGTACATTCATATAAGTTCTAACCTAAAATCTTTATTTCAAATAAAAAAATGATTTTATGGACATGGTCAACTGAATGGCAGGTGGTCACCAATTCTTTTAAGTTTTCAACCATTTTAATTCAACTTTTAGCTTATTTTCCAGTTTTAAATGGTCATGCAGAGTGACAAATTAATTTTAACTACAAAATGACATTACTAGTCAGAGGTTTGAAGAGAAATTCTTACAAATGTATATTTGTCTACAAAAGATTTTCAAGCATTAAAGCTTAAGCTTTTAGATCTACAGTAACGGCATGTTTAAAATTTGTTACTGTACTTCATCATCTCTCAATGAAAGAGACAATAGGCTGCTGCTGTTGTCACTCTTTGAAATATTCCATTCCATATCTCATATTCAGCATCCTTGACACATGGGACTCTATGAGAGGATCCTACTTGAACTCGACTGCTTGGGTCGACTGGCTAAATACCTGGATTCCTAAACTACCGTGAATTTATGCAATTTCTTTCTTTTCTTTTTTTAAAGTCATTCTGAATCACTCAAATGCTGAGGTGGGATGTTGTGTCACTTTACAGGTCCTTCGGAGAGGAAGAGGAACAGTACCCAACTCTGGAAGAAGCGCTCGTAATCGAAATGTTGATGCATGATAATGAGCAAGGCTACTTTGGAGGTAGGCCTACAAGTCATTTCTCTGAATAATTTCACATCAGTCATTTAATCCGGTATTTAAAGTTTGTTTGATGGAAAAATAGATGTAACAGAACATGACAGATGTGTTTATGTAATCAGTCTCAAGGGAAGTGCGAAGCCCCAGGCCTGCATACGTGCTGCACCGTGTGGGTCAAGTTATCGTGGAGACACAGAATAAAATGGTTGGGGTGATAGTGGGCTGGGATGCAGGACTCCGAGCCCCACCAGAGTGGATCAAGAGAAAGAAATTCTCAGACTCAGAGGTTTGTAAAACAACAACGTCATAACCTGAAACCACAGAAATATAACAGTAGTCCATTAAAAATGTGTATTTGTGTATAGCTTGAGAGAGCCAAGGACACTCCTCATTACAGAATTCTGTTCAGTGGGCCTGATTCCTCATCACTACTGATCGGATACATTCCCCAGAATAACGTGAAGCTCTTTCAAGGCTTGGAGGTGCAGAGAAAAAGTTTTTAACTTTTGTGTTCACCTTGTCTTCTAGGCTGTTTAGGTTATTGGACTAAATCAGTCTTAATCTTAATCAGTGTTTGTGTCTGTCTTGTGCCACAGCCGGACATTCCTACTCTAGAACACTATTTTTCACACTTCGATGGGGAAAAGTTTGTTATGGAGGAAGGGTTGCAAGAAATCTACCCTCACGATTGAAGGAGTTTTAAAAATGTTTTAAAAACACCTGGAATCACAGACATGATGCCTGCTACTCTTCACTGACAGTATTGATTCTTCTTTTAAAGCAATGAAAAAAAGGAGGCGAGTAAATTTGAGAGATAGTATATCTTGTTTACATACCCCATATGCATTTACACTGAGCAATTTTAGTTATTAAACTGAAGAGCTAAAAAGAACTAAATGCAATTTTTATTGTCGCTTTTATATTTTTTAAAAGATAAAGGTCTTAAATGATTTTGCAAGGGATATGTAAAGTTATGAGCAGAACTATTTTTTTTATGTCAAAGCGAAATGATAGACTATTAAATGTTTTTATAATATGCCATTGGATCAAAATGCATGCATGTTGATCTGACTCAAATGGGTTTCAGGATATGAATGAAGTTAGATGTCAATATGATATAGCCTAGCCCTAGCCTATTTATTTAGATGAACAAAATATAAGGATTTGTTGTGTAAAACAGTATTGAGAATGTTATAAACAGTGTTCAAAGTAAAGCCATAAATACAACCCTTATATATTATTAAAGTTTCATTTATTTAAAATATGCCTTTCGAAATGTTGTCTTTTTAGTTGTCTATCCGTCTATGTGTAATTCCCATAATACCTTGGGAGCCACCGAGTAGAGTGTGTTTAGACAGTGCTCCTCTAAAACACAATAATAATATATCGAGATATTTTCGAACTAAAGCAAATGATAAGGTGAAGAAGACGCAGGAAGATCCGGCGATCGTCACGTGCTCGACAGGTGCTGGTATGTGGCGTATTTTTTCCTTCAAGTAAGATGTTTTTGGAGTGATGGATCAGTCATGAGAGTAGTGTTGTTCTCAAACGCTTGTTAAAATGTTCATTAAGAGCAGGTGGTTGTCAATATCTCGCTGTTTGTCGCCCAAGCACAGGTTCGTGATTATGACGCCTAAATCAGTGTGGTTTTATAAATATTATTGCGTTTTTATTAAACGTCCAACGAGTAGCCTATACAAGCTGTACACATTTTAGGCTTAACGAATTGACTAACTGGGTTTATTATTCAGTCAAACCTGACAGCTTCAATGATCGATTAGCTTTTTTGGTAGGAGTTCACCTGTAGCTATATTCACCGGCCTAGATTGTTTCATTTTCAGTAGCCCACCCAAGCCTCTTGTCTGCTGTTTTGAGATACTTGTATTCTTTGTTATTAATATCCTGATATTGTGTTCGTTTTTTTGTTGTTGTTTTTTTTACATTTCATGGCAGCTGTGTCGGTTATTATTATTTTTTTATAATAACTATAAATGTTTTATCCAGTTTTTTCTCTAAATGGATTTTCAAAGCCCAAAATGAATCTGTTTAGGTCATGCAACTTGCAAGAATGGATATCTATTACCAGGGCAGGTGGTAAACACTCTCCTTCATATTTCTTTTTGTGTTGAGTTTGCATGTTCTCCCTGAGTCTGTGTGGGTTTTCCCCACAATCCAAAAACATGCAGTATAGGTGAAATGGAGACAATTGTCCGTAGGTGTGAATGTGTGTGTCTGAGTTCCGAGCCTACCTACCCCGGAAAATTATTGCCAAGAAAATTCATGGTCAGTCTCATGTATGGATAGAGATGGCCATAGAATCACCAAGAGTAAGAGAATATGAAGAGGGACGTGCACAGGGGGGTTGCTCAGGTTGCCCGGGCAACTGCCCATATGCCCTTCTCGACTCAGGTTGCCCTTTCAAAAAAAAAAAAAATAATTTTAGGCCTAAAAGAATTTCACGTAGGCCTAGATAAAAAAATAATAATAAAAAAAAAATCGCAAAGCCGCATTCACTTCCATTCGGGCACTCAGCTCAACTGTTTACGTGGCTGCAGCTCTGCACGCGACCATAGACTGCACGCGACCGGTGCGTAAGACCCCGCCTCCATCTCGTGTCATAGCGCGTCAATTAATGTGTACAACATCCATGACAAAATAAAGCGAAACTATCCTTCTGGTCACGAAAAGAGGAAGAATAAAAAAACCATGAGAGTGAATTGCGGGAACAACAATCAGTGAAACTTGTGTTCTCTCCTCTCTAAGTTTGATGTCAGCAAAGTTTGATGTTTTTCGGTCTTGCTAACCTAGCTGGGCAGGCAGTGCATCTCTTGCATCACTTTGTGCCTGACAAAAGTGAGAGTAAAATACAATTATTTATTACGTTTGTTTTTGATAAACGACAAAGTGCAACGGTGTTTGTTTACTGCAGCTCAGAAAACATAACCGCGTCGCGTGTGTTATCCATGGTGTTATCATGCGTTCATATGCGCGTGCACGAAGTGAAACGTGCATTTTTCAAGCAGAATATGTGGAGACCAGACATACTGTACAATACATGCACGTGAATGATGGCACTCCCAATCAAAGTACACATTATACGTTTAAAACAAGACACTGATTATCTAGTCTCAGTGTTAAAAACTCTAAACAACTGCACTAATTATGCAAGATAGAAAGCAATGTATTGACAATTTGACATTGATTGACTATTGATTTATAGGCTATATTGAATTTAAAATGTTGATTAGCTGGACATACTGGTCAATATGGATGCACATCCCTCAGTAAATAATAACCATAAATCAAGAATTGCTTCAACATGCATAATAATAAATAAAACAATCATACTGATGCCGAAAATACCCAGGCTGTAGAGAGAACCAAAGTTAATCCCAAAAGCCAAAGCTCAGGGTTATAATTTATTATTTTCTTCTTATTTATGTTTACGTTAATGTTCACTTGTTATCTTAACATTCTATAGAAAATACTCTATTCAATAAATATTGTTTGTTTGAACCTCATTCTGTTCTATATTGTTGTACTTATTCTTTGACTGTTTTGTTTAAAGGAGGGAGGATTGTATGGGAGCACTGAAGTGTCAGGTGTGACTGTGTGGCAATGGCAAATGGTTTACATAGCTCACGACATCACGGGACAGGTACAGGACCCCTTAGGGCCCCAGGGGGAGGTCAGGATCGGCACTGGGTTTAGCAGTCGATTCTGTTCCCTACCGGAATTCCTGTTCCCTTTACGCAATCATACTACAAATCATGCGTAGTTGCCCGTAGCCTACCATCACAACTGAATACGAGCAAGAAGCACAACTGAATGTACGGGAAGCCAAAAGGTTAAAAAAGGATTGTATTTTTTCCCAAAATCTAAGCGTTGTTTTTTTTATTACAAGCAATAAATAAAAGAGCAACTGCCCCTCAAAATTCCTGTGCACGTCCCTGATAAGCATCACAGAAGAGTACCATATTTCACATTATTTTACCAGCTATAACAAGCAACATAGGGGCATTCTGATTCATGAAAGAAGTCTGCCCTGTCCTGCTTATATAGTTATAATTACATAGTGTTTGGCACTACAAATAACAGAAGTCTTATAGACCTCTAATTTTTGCTTGTAGAAATATGAGAACAATTTTTAGAAACCAAACATATATGACATCCGTTATTCGTGCAAGATGCGTACATGCATCATTATACGAGTATGTATTCCCTATTCAAACACAGGCTCATCTAACTCATTTTCTCACTGAAAGGCTATCTAACTCATAGACTTTCAGATTTCAACTGTTTTCTAACATGCAAATATGATTTTACCAGTATGCTTAAGTAATGCTCAATTAATTGGTTCGGACCAAGTTTTTAGCATTACCTTTTGAGTTGCACACAGTGCTATTCAACTCTGGATTGGAGAATTTATTTATTTAAAACATCAGTAGGAACATGTGGTATCTTTATTTTAGGCCCTTTTGTGAATATTGGTGGTCCTCTATGGTACTCACTTCGTAGAACTGTGTTAACAGGTTTAGTCAGCAGATACTTGGAAAAAAAAATCGTTTAATTTTATTATTGCTAAAGAAAAACTTCAAAATTTCCTCCTGTTGCTGTCCTTTAGTCGCAATTCAAAGGTCACAAACACACGTGAAGAGACATAGACTAATGTAAGCCCAGTCCTCTGATGTAGTGTTGGAGGAGAGCCAGTGACTTCATGCTGGCCGCTGGTCCACTCTCGTGATTCCTCCTCGCGTACAAGCAGCGGGCGTCCCAGAGCTTGTCCCAGAATGCCACACGCCTCGCTGGCTTTTAGTCGAGCGTTGTCCACTGCTTCCAAACATACTCGCCGTCTGCATTCAAATCATTACAAACAGGCATATTAATTAATTTGAGATGGCAGATGGATGTTCAGGCTTACAGTGGAGCTTTACATGAAGACTGACATTGTTCACCTTAACAAATTGAGGCTTTCGGCACTGTGACTGTAGTAAGGGTCACCAACACACACGCTTTTGTCTAGTTTTTCAATCAAAACTGAGCGTGCATGCTGCATCTTCTCAAAGTCTGAAAACACAACAAGCACCTGCAGAGACAAAATAGATAAATAAAGAGCAAACATATAACCTGACAAGATAGGCCACCTCTATCCATCTTACCTCGGCTTGCATGTGGAAGAGCTCCTCCTCTCTTTGTAAATGTTTGGCCACAGTGATGTTTTCTTCCTGTTTGGAAAGAAGATACTGGAATTGTTTGTTCTTTCTTTTTTTTTATAAATACGCAACTTTTAATCAATTAGCACCTTAACGTCATGCTGTCTCGCAGTCTGTAGTACGTATTCCAGTCTTCGTGAAACACTGTTAGTCACGTCGTTAACATTTTCTTTACTGTTTTTGACGCTGATGGAAACGGTCGCGCGGTCCGGAGGAAACGATATCTCCGCACAGCCCGTCACCTGAACCACTCTTACGTTACTTTGAATGTGTAAAGGTGTTTGCTTGCGGCCCTGATAGAACACCGCTTCGTTTTCGTCTCGGTAAACATCACCAGCAGTCGCTGAAACTGCAGCAAAGACACGAGACGGGGTGTGCGCCATATTTGTTAGTAAACCAACGTGGCGCTATGGCAACTTGTACAGTGCATGTCGGGAAATGTTGTTGTAGTCGCTTTTTATACGTCACAACAACAGCAATTTCTG